TTTCATCTGAGCCCCTCTACCTTGCCCCTTCCTTTCTAGGGAAGTGGCTCACTCTGGGGTCCAGACCTTGCCCCCAAATGCCATGTGTTACTAAAATCCTGCCTGGCTCACTTCATGCTTCTTTCTGCAAAGGCAGATTGGAGTTTGCAGGAAGTGCAACCCACTCACCACTTTGTACATTAAAAAAAAAGTATTTCCATGTTTTCACCTTAGACCTTAAGCTCCTCTATAAAGGGTGTTACATGGGAAGCTCCCTGTTTCTGAGACTCTAGCATGTGTTCGTCACCCTGAGTCCTTGGAACACTGCTGTGGTGACCTCTCAAGGCCTTGTTAGTTGATCTGCTGCTTCTCGCTGCTTCCTGCCTTGGCCCCAGCACACCTGGCCATGGGGAAGGAAGGGACATGGCAGAAATGCCTGGCCAGGGAGCATGGAGGGAGACAAGGGGCTGGAGGGAGGGGGGGGTGGACTGTGTCCTGTTGACATGCATCTCTGGACCCAAGGACTAGCAAGCTGATTGAAGCCAATGGTATTGGCAAAATTCTGGGGGAAGAAAAGAGGTAGTAGTATTTTATACTTTTTTAAAATAGCAGAGTAATTGCTCTTGCAATTGCCACACTTTTTCCCAATTGTATATGCAATTTGGCTTGACCAATCTGACAGAGACATGAAAATACCCACCTCCAAGAGCACTGGAACACACGAACTTTTGGAGAATAAGAGTGCAGGCAGGCAAGGAGCTGAGAGGAGGGGACAGAGAAGGGGGGAGGGAAGGACGGGAGAGAGCTGTCACAGCTGGTGTGGCTTCGGAACCAATATGCCAGCCTGGACTGCTGCGGGAATAATTAAGTGCAATTTTCTCCTTGGACGGGTATAGGATTTTAAACAGGATGGGCTCAGATTCTGCCCAGGCTGTTGTCAGACCACTTTCTTGAGAATGTCTCTCCTGCGGGTGTGTTCCGAGACTGGAGTGTGAAAGCATTGGGGAATTCTGGGTTGAATTTATTTCATTTAATTCCAGAAGCAAAAAGGAACTGACCTTGGAGAACCTACTAGGACATCCTGTTGGGCAGTTTCAAAATAAGGTGAATTCACCGTGTTTATCTATTAATTGCTAGGGACAATGGCTGGTGAATATTGCCTCATCATTCAGGACACGAAATTTGGGAAGACAATCTGAGGTTGGGCCAGCTGAGAAGAAGTGAAGGGTGTTGAAGAGGCTGGTGAGACCAGGGTGTTGACCCTCCTTCCGTGCCCCATGTCTCCCGGTCTCCTACTGCCCTTCAACCTGTGGCCTGCAGTGCTCAGGTAATAATGATAGTAATCACCACCACCATTATCATCATCATAGTCATCACTGTCACCACCACCACCACCACCATTACCGCTATTTCCACACCACCACCATCATCATGACCACCATCATTATGGTCACCATCATCATCATGGCCACCACCATCACCATCATCTTATCACCACTATTTCCACACTATCATCATCATAACTACCACGACCATCATCACCATGATCACCACCACCACCACCACCACCACCATGGTTATCACCATCATCATGACCATCATCACTACTAATATCACCACCATCACCATCATCATGTCCATCACCATCATCAACACCATCACCACCATCATCATCATGACCATCACCATCATCAACACCATCATCACCACCACCATCATCATGGCCATCACCATCATCAACACCATCATCACCACCACCAACATCATGGTCATCACCATCATCACAACCATCATCATGACCATCATCACTATTAATATCACCACCATCACCATCATCATGGTCATCACCATCATCAACACCATTACCACCATCAGCAGTATCACAGAGAATAATATTTATCACATGCCTACTATCTGTAGGGCTTTAAGTGCTTTACACATATTAACTCATTTAATAATTATTATAACTGCATCTAGTAGGTACTATTATTAACTCTCTTTACAAATGTGGGACTTGAGACGTGGACTTGCTCAAAGTCACCCAGCTCGAAGGTGGCAGGACCAGAGCTGAACACTGGCTGTGTCGTTTCAGACATGACCTATACACATAAGCACTTCCCCACCTCCTTGCCTGGTTTAGCCCACCCTACAAGAACCTGTTTAAGATCCCAATTGCATGTGGGATTGCTCCCACAATCTCTGGAGCCCAAGATGAGGTCTACACTGACCCTGGTCTGGCTCTCACTGCTTCCTGTTGGCTCTTCCCCAGGGCTCCTTGGAGGGACACCATGAGATGGCCCTTTGGCAACGCCATTGCACTGGGGCACCACGGGGGGTAACTATTCAGGCTAAGTGGTCCTGGATATCAGGGAGGACAGTCATAGTAGCACACCCTGGCTGGTGAGGACGAGAAAGGCCCTCTGCGATCTGGGGCCAGCAGCCAGAAGAGGGGATGCAGAAACTCCTACTAGCAGAGATGAAAGAGGTGGACATTACAGTAGGTAGAACTAACAGAGGATGATGGGCAAGGGAGTAAAAAAGATGGGTGATCCATGAGCTGCCAGGCATCTGCAGTGAAGGAAGGAGAAAAATCCCAGGTACACTGTATAATTATGGTTATCAATCCAGACATTCATGGCCATGAAGAGCTTAAGCTTCTCTCCCGACTCTCAGAACCATCATAGGCCCAGAATTAGTGCTCTGAGAAAGCTCTATTTTATTCATGTTACTCCACATCCTCTATCCCCAAATTCACACAAAGCTTAAAGGGGGCATTAATCCTGGTTCTTCTAAGTTCTGAAGTGGCCACACGCAGAGGTGAATGCAACTAGCACCATGTGTTTTGGTCTAACTCAGGTGTTTTTTTGTTTTTTTAATTGAATGAGTTGCCAACTTTCAGAAACCTGGAGATTTATTTTTTTTTAAATAAAAATCTGGACTTTCAGCTTCTCTTTAAAATTTAAAAAATCTGGCAACACTGACATATATTCTGACAAGGCAGAGGCATGCTGGTAAATGTTTAAGACCCAGCTCACCAGGAAAACAAAATGCCCTTGATTTATAGGATTTGCCAGTTTCCATTGGAAAAATACTCCCATCACAGCTGATTTCAGCAGCAATGACACGCAGAGAGTCAGCACCCATGAACCAAGCTAGTTGAGGGTTTTCAGTCTAAGAGAGTGTTCTGGCCAGCTATTTGACTTACTGCTGCCACCGACTCCTACCGAATCAATCCGAAGGAAAGGGAAAACCATACATCACCACTGTGAACGAGAGAAGAGCTGCACAGTTTTGCAACTTGCAAGAGCTTCACCAAGAGACAGTCCAGATTCACAAGAATCCCTGAATGGCAGCACCAACTGGCTGGCCAGTGCAAGAGATGGAAAGACTGACTACCTTGGCGGGGAGGGTAAAGGGCAGGGACCCCACAGAATCCCCTGACCACTTATGGCTCCCGGTTGGAGATGAAGGTGAGCCATGGAATCAGCGGATGGTGTGAGCTCTGCTCCTGTTCCAGCCTGTGTGGATGGGGACAACATGTGGCATGGGGACAGCATGCTGGGGGGGGGGTTCCTATCAGGACGCAGAGGCCAGCGGGAGGGGGAGGATGCTGCTTCTGCCAGCTTCACCACGGACCACCCTCTGTCTGCAGCAACCCCCACCTCCCCTTCCACTGCCCTTGCCCCCAGAAACATGTCAGTCAAGCGAAGCTTCTGCCTTGACCCTTTGTTTGGGCCTGAAGGAATTAAACCAAGGCCTAGAGGGACCAAAGAGTCCTTCCTAGCTTTGTTTTCCTCTTTTTGTCCTGTATCCATGTTGCTCTGGAAATAAAGACAAAGGGTAGGAGGAACATTATATGGTTGGGCCGTATGGAACCAAGGCACAAACTGGGAGGCCAGTCATGCCAGTGTCCCAAGCGCCATCACCACATGGCTTCCTTCACTCCTAGACCCTTATACTGCCTTGTTGAGCTGGTAGCACTGGGGAGCCCTGAAACCACAAGGTCCCAGTGGGAAAGAGGGGCACCCAGTTTATTGGAAGGAGGACAGAACAGGTGCTAGCAAAGGCTGTGCTTTGCTGGGGTGACTGGGGGGCCTTGAGGGAAGGCTGGGGGGCTCCCGCTGAGGCTGCGGCTCCAATCTGGACCCTCACGAGAGACCAGTGACTTCACTGCAGCCACTGATTTTCCTGCTGCTCAGCCCCTCCTTAAAACCACTGCCAAGCAGAGGGCCATTTCCCCTTCAAAAAATTCCAGAGGCTTCCTGCTGCCCCTGAAGAAGGCACAATACACATCACTGCAGTGTTGTCCCATCCTGTGAGTCAGGAATCAAATCACTTCTAGAGCACTGAAGAGTGCTCATGCCCGTCTCAAGAACTAACGTTGAAGTTAGGGATCATGTCCTATACAACCAGGGACCCTTCCCCCTAGTTCTGAGCATAGCACTCATTGTGCTGTAGGTGGTTCATGGAGGAGATGCTTTCTGGATGAGTTGAGAGACAAGTGGTCACGTAGATGTGACCCAAACATGACTTCCTTCCTTCAGCAACATTCACCCTGTGAGCCTCGCTTTATATACAATGAGGTGAATTGGACCAAGGGAGGTAGAGCAACTTTCCCAGATTCAGTTACAACAAGGAAGACATTTCCAAAGTCCATGGCCTTTCCAAGGAGCTGGGTGCTCCCATCCGGTTTGATTCTCTCCTTGCCCCCAGGAAGCAGGTGGGACCTGTCACAGAGGAGGAAATGGAGTCCCATGGCCAGTAAATGGATTCACCTTGATGGGGACCCACAGGATGCCCATATCCTGCACTGGGGCCAAATTTAGAAGGCAGAGGGAGGGGATGATTCTGGAGTCATCAGGACCCAGATAAAATGCGAATCAGCTGTGAACATGGAGTCCAAGTGGGGAAGGGGACACAGAAGTGGATGAGCAGAGGTTGACAGCAAGAGGATATATATAGCCTTCCACAGTGCTTGGCAAGAAGACCACGAGGCTCCCACCAAATTCCGGCCCCCATACCTGCACGGCCACCACTGACAAGACCTCTACTGAGATTCGGTTAAACTCATCAAAACAGCCCCAGGCACCGGTCTGAGCAAGGCCTTTGTAGATGTTGCCGCAAGACTGCAATGAAACGTACAAAGATTAAATTACTCTCAGTGCCGGGCTCATCATCACACATCTAAGTCAGTTCCCATCCTGTTTGTGAGAGATACTTCCAGTCCCCTAAAGACCACTGGTTCAAAAAACTCCTAATGAAATTTCAAGGGCAATTACATTTTTTTTTCACATTTAATAATTTTTTTATTGTTATGTTAACCACCATACATTACATCATTAGGTTTTGATGCAGTGTTCCATGATTCATTGTTTGTGCATAACACCCAGTGCTCCACGCAAGGGCAATTACATTTTTGATGGCCATGGGTGCCAACATAAGTCACGGGGTCAAACAGAACCTTTTTAAGACACTTGGACCAAAATCCCTTTAAAATGTCATCGGGCTTGCATTACTGTTGATTCTGTAGCTTTCAAAATCCCAGGAAATGAATAAAATTTTGTTTTTTGTTTTTTTTGGGTTTTTTTAGACTATACATACAATCAATCAATCAATCAATCAATAAAGCCTTCCACTCAGCCTTTGGCATGTGCTGATAAACAAGTTTATGTCTTTATTTATGTATCTTTAGATCCGGGCCCAAACACCCAGCCCTCCCAGAGTGCTAGGAAGCTGGAGATGGATGGAGAAAGTGATAAGATCCATTGAAAGTGAATGACAGGTAAAATATTTTCAAATGAGAGCAAGAAAAGAATTTCAAAGGGGAGATGGCATATCTGTTCTAAAAATAAAAACTGGGCATTCAGTGTGAATCAGTAAACCATGGAGTCAATACAAAGGGGGAGGTTATGGGGGGAAACTCTCAAGGCCATTGGCAGGGTGACACTGCTAAAGCACTGGGAAAGTAAAAAAGTCCCATTTGCTTCTGTAATGAGCGTTTGCTGACCATCAGCTCTGTGCACAGCTCATGCTCTAGACACAGAAGGGCTTAGTCCCTCTAAGAGCTTCTAGTTATGCTGTGGAGAGAAGGCATACAGACAACACATGTAAATCGCCACAGGAGCAGTGGTTCCAATGGACATAGTAAAAGACACAGCTGTCATGGCGTTCAGAGAGGAGTGAATTGAAGCACTGCTAGTGATCAGTGTTGCCAAAGAGCTGAATTTCAGACAGTATTAGGACAGCATTTCCCAAAGTTTATTTCATGGGATGCCAAATCCAGGAGATGCTCCTTGAAGAGAAGGTGTTTGCGTCAATCGAGTTTAGGAAACACCACATTCTAGAACGCTCTTTTGCTAATTTATGACATATATTAGAATTTTAAGGGAAGGACCGAAAAGTCCCGCCCATGAAATTCAGTCAATGTTTTAGGGCCAGGATTTTTTGCTTTCCTCATGGGGCTCCTGGTTTTCTCAGGATGTGCGCTGGCGAACATTCATGTAGTGGACAGAACAGAGGAAGGGAAGTCAGAAGATCTGGGGTGCTGGTATCTCACAGAACTGTATGTTCTCTTCAGAACACACCGTGGGAATGCTGGCTGATTAGTATGTGTGTAGGCAGAATGGAAGGGGATAGGGAAACGGGTAAGGGCTTTCTGGGAGCAGTAAATATTATGGGCACAGGATGAGCAAAATCACGGTATGTCCAGGGAAAAATAAAGGTGTCATTTGGGCTGAAAAGTTGAGTCACAAAAGGTCATGCTTATGAAAAGCCTTGAATTATTTGAAGGGACCGTGGAGGTCCGTGGAGGTTTGGAGCAGAGGAAAGCAAGATTAAAGCAACATTTTAGGAGAACCGATCTAACATCCCATAAGCAAGCCTGTGAAAAGGACGGAACGATAATCCCCACCTTTCATTAAGCTCCCTGAATTAATGGATTCCTCTATTCATGCAAAAATACTTTCTGAGCATGTACTATATGGGTCAGGGACTGTCCTAGGTCATGAGGAATCAGCTGTGAACAGGGAGACAAAGCCACAATCTTCATGGGGCATACATTCTAGGGGAGAAAACAGACAATGACACAAAAAGAAGAAAAGGTAAGAAAATGACAAGTCTCAGGGGAGTCCTACAATGATGTGGTTATTTTGGATTGAGTAGCCATAGATGGTCTCTCTACGGAGGAGGTGACATAAATCCCAGGTGTTGTGTCCTATAGGTGGATATTACTATTAATTTATTCATGAGTATGTATGTCTGTATATATAACACCTGATATGCATATATAGTAATATACATTCTATATATTACTATATTTAACAACCTATCAAATTTCACAATTACTTATGTGGCAGTTTGGGAATCAAAAGTCCATGCTTTTGCAGATGAACAGTGGTTCTGAAAGATTTTAAAACTGTGGACCCCTTTCATCAAGTGGAAATCCAATAGAGAAGACAAAAAAAGAAAAGGGTAAAGTTTCCATAGGTGGATACTGGTCATCCCCACACTTAACCCCAAGGGCCTGAGCACAGCCTGGGACCCCACATCACCATATTTTTTCATGCCACCACAATAGTATGAAGGTACTATTAGCTTGATTGTGGTGTCACCTAGCACAAGACACCAAATTTCTGGGCTAGGATGAGGGCAGTAAGAATAGGGCGAATGGTCTGGGAGCTTTGAAAGACCGGCTGAAGGACGAATCAACACTAGGACTAATTGCAACTATGGAAGGAAAGACGTAAAGAATCAGGATGTCTAAGATTGCCACCCTGGGCCACAGGGGAAAATGAGAACCTTAGCATGCATGGCATGGGGAAACTGGGCAGGGGGAGGATGGGGGGGGGTCAGCAGGAAATGTCTGAGAAGAGAGTGTTAACCAAACATGAGGGTATCTAAATGCCCTTCCTTCTAGTTGGGAAGACTTAGTTCTTGGGTGAGGCTGGAAGGTAGATTCTGGAGTCATCAGGACCCAGATAAAATGCGAAGTTATAAAAGAGGATCCAAGAAGGAGACCCAGATGGCAGGATCAGAGAGTTATTGTGGAATATAATGTTTCAGAGACCAAGAGAGTAGGGTTTCTCAGGAAGGAATGCGTGTTCTATAACATTAATGCTGCAGAGACGTCCAAAAGAATCCCAGGTCTTTCAGGTTCAAAACCATTTGCTACTGCAGCTATAGCATCTCTGAACTGAGGTCAAGGGGGACAGTACTGTTTCTGTGACATAAAGAACACCTTAGCACCAAAACTGCAATGGTTTCCAGAGGAACTGACTAGGCTTATGGGTTTTCCAACCAGAATTAACAGAGGGGAGCCATAACTTTGCCTTTTTCCCAAGTCTCCACATTGTTCTGTGTCCACCCCAATACCTGATGCCTCTTGTGGGATCACAGAGGCAGAAGGCATTGTGAGGGTCCCTGACTACAGCCCATCTCTCCTCTTTACCCTCCCCCAGTTTCACCACACAGCCCTCCCCACATTCACCAGGTATCATTCCGTTTGTTAAAGTCTCTCATGTTTTCTTTTCCATTTATACTACCCCAGTGTCTGGTGGCTCACCCTCCCCAGTTTGAATAACTGCAACATTCTTGGCAAAAATTTGCCCTCCTTCCAGTCCCTTCCTGCCTCCATTCGTCCGGCTACCCAAGGAGTCTTCCTCAGATGCCACCCATGTTCGTCATGCTCCCACTTGAGTCCTGAAGCCCACAGGATCTTCGTGAATGGCCACCACTTCTGGGGCATGTTCTCTTCATGGCTTTGTGTCCCTCCCCTCCTTGTGGAACCCCTATCTCCTATAATCTGTCCCCTAGTCTGCTCTCATGCACTTGGCCACTGCTCCATATTTAATGCTAGCTTGTTCTCTGAGGATACAGAAACAAGTTGTTGTGAGTGTTGTGAATGACTCATCCGAATGATGCCTGGTGAAGTGTGGGACAGCTCTTCCTGACCCTCACTCTGTCCTTTCCTCATCCCAGCCAATCCCTGTGAGGATAGCTCAAGGGAGAAGTCAGAGTGAGGAGTAGGGAAAGGATGATGATGCACAGGAACTTTGTCATGTCTTTGAAGCTGACGTTTTAATGGGTTAGGCAGTGTTAAAATGGCACACGCCCTGTTTGGCACTCACCCAAACCTTACACAGCCTTGGGTCTCACATCCTCCAGGATGTTCATGACAAGCGTACTCTGTGCTCTTCCCATCTCTGAAGTATTCCAGGGATTAGAATCTGCAGAACACACATTCTACGTGCTATTTGGTATCTCCCCTAATTATTTCATATATCTCTCCTGTCTATCCAGATAGACTGGATTATACTTTGTCTGTCTCTGTATCTATCCATCATTTATCTATCATCCTATCATCTCTCTCTCTCTCATCTCTCTGTCATCTATCCATCAACCTATGCGTATTTATCTGTATCATATATCCATCCATCCACCCACCTACTCACCCATTCATCCATCCTTTCATGATGCACACACATGCTGAGCAATGGTGATACTAAATAAATTAACTTGATTGCTAGAGAGTGTTTTGTGATGAAAATAATTCTAAACAGCTGGACAACAAAGGGAAGAGGAGGTGTGCAAACAGCTCAGTGAGGATGTTGTTTACATAGGATATTTGGTGCCTTGGAAGAGACCACCATCCTTTTGGTGTATTTTCCTATAGTCATCCCTATAATTCTGGCTCTGATCTGTGTCTTCATAGACTTGACCAAAGCTTTGCACAGTCCAGACAAACTACAGATAGACCCCTCTTCTCATCCTGTACCCTCAGAGGAATTGGTGGAGTATCAGGGCTCAGTAGTAAGTTTTGAAAGAATTGGCCTCCTCACCATGGGGCCAACTCATTTATTCCTGTTTGGCATGCCAAGCATAAATTTGAAGAAATCCTGCTGATTTTCTTCAGTCAATACCCAGGTCTTCTTCATCTAAATGAGTGTGTCCTCTGGAATGTCCCTCTGGGGAGAATATACTTATTCAGCAATGCTGCCTTTTGCTCAACTATGGGAAAATCTAGAAACCTAATCCTTAAAGGTTGAGTTTATAGGAAAAAAACACATCCTTCTTTTAGCCTGATTTAAAGAGAAATACTACTTAAAAAATTTTTTTTAGAGAGAGCACACACATGCGCACACATGCTCACATGGGGGGGCGGCAGAGGAAGAGGGAGAGAGAGAATCTTAAGTAGTCTCCACACCCACCATGGAGCCCAACTCATGGCTTGATCCCACGACCCTGAGATCACGACCTGAGCTGAAATCAAGAGTCAGATGCTTAACTGACTGAGCCACCCAGGTGCCCTATTTTTTTTTTCTTAGAGAAATAGTACTTTAATGTGCTCATCAATAAAAGCAACCATGATAAAATTTAGACTGTGTAGAATATGAGGAGGACAGCTGTTTGGCATCTGAATCCTCATTTTGTTTGCTTGCTATGAGCAAACATGGTGCTTTAGGTTTCTGCAACTCTTTGCACAGCAAAATTTTCCATACAAGAGAAATTTTAAACTTACAGCAGATGAATCTCATTTAGAGTTCTATATGTTAGCTCACAGTCTCTAAAATTATTTTTAAATTAAATTTATTTTGTACCCCATGTATCATGATTTATACATATAAATATTTAATCTACTTAATGCTATGGTTTTTTCCCCCACTCTAAATTTATTTACATGCCATCCTGTTTCAAAAGGAACTTAAGACAGTTTACCAAAATAATACAATAAAACAAAATTAAAATAACGAGAAAGTGAGACAATTTCATTACACTTAAAAAAAATCTATATGACATCTAGCAGAATATTGCTAACTAAGAAGTGACCTATGGGCCTGTTTCTCTTGGCTTTTCTCTATGTCGCAGAACCTGGAATACATTTAAAAACTAAAAATGATGAGCACCTGAATGAAGAACATTGGCCTTGCACTTGACCTTCATGGGCATCACTTGTTAGGAGTAGAAGTTAATCTAGTCTGCCTTCAGAAGTCACACCTGCCCTTGTAAAATATTTTGCCCTTGTTGAAATACTGGGAAAATGCCCACTTTTCCAGAGAAGCACAAATTTGACTTTTATGTGAGGATTTCATGGGAGCCACTTGTGAGCCCTTCTGTGGTTCTAGGTCAAACAGCATATGTAGGCCTTTGGATAGATGCTCAGCCTCTCCTTTATACAGGTGACAAAAGATCTCAAAATGAAGCTCATCAGCTTACAGGGAGGTAAACAAGCTCCAGGGATCAGAGATCCTCAGGTCTCCCGGGATGGAGCCAGCAGACACCCCCGTGTCTGGACCTCTGAGCTGGGCCAGGTTGGCATGAATGAATCTGGACCCCAATGTAGGCTGCCACCCAGTTCCTAGTCCCCGCCCCTGCCCTGCTCCAGTTGAGGCGTACCTTGTAGTCCATCTGCTCTGAGCAGTTGAACACATACACCATGATGCCCAGTGCTCGGCCCAGGTCCTTGGTGGTCTCTGTCTTGCCAGTGCCTGCAGGTCCTGCTGGGGCTCCACTCATGGTCAGGTGCAGAGACTGGGTGAGGGTGATGTAACATCTGTCAAACACAGGAGCACGTAGGTCATTGCCAGGGCCCCGGGCGGCCTGACCAATGGCTCTGGCCCTGCTGGGTCCTAGGGAGATAGAGCTCGGGTTCCAGGCCACAGGAGACCTGACAGCTTCTCTGTAAAGGAAATCCAGAGCCCCCACTCCCATCTGTACCCCATGGTGCTGTGGGGAGAACTCTCTGAAGGGTCATCTGATCCTGATTTTCCCTCCCTCAAGGGCATCACCGGCTCACGGCCAGGCTCTTTCTGATCTTGCCCCTGTTCACTGCGCATCTCTCCCAACCCTCCAGCCCCAACGCCCTAAAGTGCCTTCATGGAGAGCTATTCTCACATGTCCATGCTACATTCTGAATGTCTGTGTGCTCCAGCTCCCAGTTCGTATGTTGAAATCCTAAACCCCCAGAGGCTATGGTATTGGGAGGTAGGGCCTTTGGGAGGTGATTAGCTCATGAAGGTGGAGCCTCATGAATGGGATTAGTGCCCTTACAAAGGAGGCTCCGAAGGGACCCATTGGCCCTTCCACCATGCGAGCACACAGCAAGAAGATAGCAGCTCATACAAGAACCTGACCGTGCTGGTGCCTTGATCTTGGACTCCCCAACTTCCAGAACTGTGAGAAATAAATTTCCATTGTTTATAAGCTACCCAGTCTGTGGTATTTTATTATAGCAGCTTAAATGGACGAGGAGACCCAGACACACTAGGACTGCATTCGTCCCTCTTTCCCCCATCCAGCCCTAGCCCTTCTGGTCCGCCTGAGTCATGTCCTTCTTCAACACGGCAGTCTGTAGCCTAGCTGGTGGCTACTCACGTCTTGGGTCTCATATTTGACATTATTTCCCCCACTTAGGAGTATTCCCGGACCCCTTGACACTGCGGGGAGTGAGCAGATGCCCCTTGGCTGAGCTCCTCCTCCAGTGTGTTCCACTCCAGCTTCCAACAATATATACCACACACTGTTCATACAGATCTTCATAAGACACATGAAAATGGGGCCATGTCTTATTCATTGTTTCATCTCCAGAAATTAGCACAGCTCCAGCCACATTAGGCCCTTAATAATTATTTATGAAACAAATTCATGAGTGAAGGGATCAATCACTCCATCTGCTTAACCCTCCTGTGACTATCTTTCCTAATGACAATAAAATAAAACCAGCTTTAAGCTTCTTTCTAGTACTTTTTATTTTTTAGGTTTATTTATTTTTTAGAGAGGGGGAGGAGGGGACAGAGGGGGAGAGAAACTCAAGCAGACTCCTCGCTGAGCGTGGAGCCCAACGCAGGGCTCAATCCCACGACCCTGAGATTAGGACCTGAGCCAAAACCAAGAGTCAGATGCTCAATCAACTGTGCCATCCAGGCCCCCCTTGTTTCTGGTACCTTTTAAAAAGGGTAATAATTACCTTTGGGTAATAAACACATTAAAAGATGTTGAAAACCACTGGTCATTAGGGAAATGTGAATCTAATCCACAATGAGATACCATGATATACCCGTGAGGATGGCTATAGTAAAAAAGACAGACTAGAATAAGTGTTGGCAAGGATGTGAAAAAACTAGGAACCTCTACACAACTGGTGGGGATGGAAAATAGTACAGCTACTTTGGAAGACAGTTTGGAAGTTTCTTAAAAAGTAAAGCTTACTGGGGCACCTGGGTGGTTCAATTGGTTGGGTGTCTGACTCTTGATTTCTGCTCAGATCCTGATCTCAGGGTCATGGGGCTGAGCCCCAAGTCAGGCTCCCTAGGCAGCAGGGAGTCCACTTGGGATTTTCCCCCTCTGCCCTTACCCCCACTCACACTCTCTCTCTCTCAAATAAATAAAGGAATCTTAAAAAACAAAAACAAAACAAAACAAAAACGTAAAGCTTACCATGTGATTCACTAATTCCCCTTCTAGGACTTTACCCAAGGAAACTGAGCATTTATGTACAGACAAAGACTTTACCCAAGGAAACTGAGCATTTATGTACAGACAAAGACTTTACCCAAGGAAACTGAGCATTTATGTACAGACAAAGACTTTACCCAAGGAAACTGAGCATTTATGTACAGACAAAGACTGCTAGGAATGTTCCTAGCAGCAATATTCTTAATGCCAAGAAACTGGAAATATTCCAAATGTCCACCAGTTGTGAATGGGTAAATAATTATGAGATGTATCCATGCAGTGGAATACTATTTAACAATATAAAGGAATGAAGTAGGTGTTACAAGAAGAGGGAACCCTAGAAGCATTATGCTAAGTCAAAGAGGTCGGAATCAAAATATTGCATAGCGTATCATTTCACTGATGCAATGTCTGGAAAACCGAGACAGATGGCGGATCTGGGGCCGCCTGGGTAGAGGACATGGGATCGACCACAAAAAGGGTGATGGCCAAGTTTGAAACTGGATGGTGGTAATGGTTGTACAACTCTACAAATTACTAAAAGTCACTGAATCATACACTTCTTTTAAGTTATCTCTACACCCAATGTGGGGCTCAAACTTAAAATTCCGAGATCAAGGGTTGCACACTTCACCGACGGAGCCAGCCAGGCGTCCCTGAATTGCACACTTGTGATGGGTGAACTGTAAAGCATGTAAATTATACCTCAAGAAAGCCACTAAAAATGTGCCATTGGCCTAACTCTTTAATACCTAGCAAATTAAAACACAGGCTCTCCACCTGCAGCCTGGACCAGGAGGGGCCATCCAAGGGGGTCTCCGAAATGAATTCTGTTTCTGAATCTGATGTTTAGAGTTCACCTGACACCCCAGACTAATGCCCTTCATGCCAGATGGTGATTGTGTCTCCACTAGAACCAAACTGGGTTTGAAAAGACTTGCAGGGAGTCCCTGAATTCTCTTTTAATGGAGTGCAAAATTCCTGTATGTAGTTTTGCCTTTGTATATGAAGCCCAGGAAGGTAGGTTTCCCAGGAGGAGAGGGCAGGTGTACAGAGTTGCCATGGCAGCATTTAGGTGCTGGTCTCCCCCTGGAGCCTCACTTTCCCCTGTGGATTAAGCTCATGTTCAAGTTGCTGACCTGTGGAATGGACCACAAAGCAGGGTGAGTCAGGGCGAAGGGCACTCAGCTCAGGCACTGTTACCGTTTGGAAATGCTTCTCTCCTCTAACATTCCTAGCTAGATCATCATGGAGGCGGTGCACAGCTTTAACCATAGCTGCCCTGTGGGCTGGGTTCTGGCTCCAGACTGGCCCCAGTGCCTTCCACACCTCCCCAGCCTCAGGCTTCTTCCAGGACTCTCCAGGGCGGGCTGCAGCCCTGTACCTCCCAGAAGGAAAGGCAGGAGGACTGGCAGAATCCTGGCCTCCTGCCAGCTCTCCTCCCCACTCCCTCCCACCCCCTCTCTGTCTTCCTCTGCTGGCTGGAGGGCACTCCCAGACCTCTTCTCTCTGCAGGTGCAAGGCTCTCAAGGAATCCGGGAGTCCAGAAGCGCAAGGTTTCACAGAAATAGAATTAGCCCAGAAAACTCTAGAATCTCTGGAAAGAAATCCTTGGAACTGGGTGTCAATCTCTTTTTGAGCTTCTATGAGTTTCCGATTATCTCCAGAAGAAGCACTTGGGGGCAGGAGGGGGAGTCCCAAAAAACCCCAAAACACAAAAAACATTTTTCTTCCCAAAATAGCAGAACTCTACAGCTAGAAAGGATTTCTGAGCTCAGCTAATCCAACAGCCTTATTTTACAGACAGGAAGCCTAAGGTTCAAGAAGGGGAAGTGGGCTAAGGTGTTCTCAATAATGAAGGCGGGAGCAGTGGGCCGTTAGCTTGGGCCATAAGAAAAACACAAAGGAACGGTATTTCACTCTTCTGCATGAGGATTGCCATTATGCTTGGGCCACTGGCCGGCAGGCTGTCCTAGGCCTCAGGGACACCGGCTCCTGCTCTAAAAATTCCATCTGCGGTCTTGTTGGCTTGTCCATCTCTGTACCCATCAAGCCATCCACTTCAGTCTGTGTCTGTTTCCCACAGAGGAGGCTGGATCACACTATCGTGGTCTAAGGCAAGGACTCTGGGGTCAGACAGAGGTCACAGGTCACCTCTGCTCCAAAGTGTTTGCGCAACCCAGCCAGGATCGCCACCCTTGGTGCCTTACAAAAGGTGTCCCTGGAATCCATCACGTGGGTTTTGCTTTGCACCAAGGAGTTCACTATGTTTGCGGCTTTAAACCAATAGCAGCTGTGGGATTGGCAAGGTGGCAAGGACTCCTGTAGGAGGCGCTCTTGCCCGGCCAACTGGCCTCAGTGTAGATAATGGATCGATTTCGTCTGGCTGTTCCTGGGCACACAGACCCTTTTGTGTCGGCACAGACCTCAGGGGTTCTGGCCTCTTCACCAAGCCAGGCTCTCTCCCATCAAATCCTCCCAAGAGGACCACATAGCCTTTTCCTCCAGCGGGGCAGGGTTTATTATTCTAGAAGGCGGCCCCTTCCACAGTGGGCCAGTCATAATTGTTTGAGAGGCTTTCCTACTATCAAGCAGAAGTCAGTCTTGTTCTCTTTGGGCAAATGACTTCTACAGGTCTTATTCTTATCTCCCCCCCCCCGCAAGCTTTTGTGAGGATAAGATGAGAGATAGGAAGGGGCCTTGAAAAGAGAAGGTCAATCCAAGTGTAAAGTATCATTTTTGAAGGTGAAAAATACATGCAATGTAGCTTTTCTTTTTTGATACAGTTATTCAATTGGCAGCTTAAAGAAAACATCAAAGCCAATGCATCTTGATTTCAGCTATAAATAGCCTGTTGCTATCTCAGAAATCTGGTCTGACTAATCTTAGAGCTGGTGAAATCACAGTTGGTTTGTATTCATCTTCTACTGCTGTATAAGAAATCACCGTAAACTAAGTGGCTTAAAATAACACTCCTGTATTACCTCCCGCTTTTAGGTCAGAAGTCCAGGTGGCTCCTCCACAGAGGGTTTCACAAGACCAAAATCAACGTTATTAGTTGGCTGGACTCTTATCTGGACACTATGGGTAAGAATCTGC